GGTTCAGTCAGGCCTTTGGCTCCAGGTGACATAGGAGAGGTGAAGCCCTCTGCAGTCATTGTGTCAACAGAAAGTCATCATGGGGAACACCACTAAAGGGAATGGGGAGAAAGCATAGAAAGGGGCGAAGGTGTAAGGCTGGGCACAGCCCCATGAGAGGTTGCCTGGTAGGGTGGGTGTCAGGGGGACTGCAGCCACTGCTCTCCCCTGCCTCCTGTGCCTGTGCCTTTGCTCTGAAGCCCGCCCCACCCTCTGGTGTGGGCACAGAGATTAGATGTCACTGTTGCCACTGAGAGGCAGCTGTGGCCTGCTTTACACAAGACTCTGGTGGGGAGAGAGGACAGGGTTGGAGGCAGAGGAGCAGAGTGGCCTCCAATGCGAAGCCAAGTCCCTTTCTCAAGGAGCTGCCAAGGGCAGGGGGAGGGCTCCTGCAGGACCTCCTCTTTCTGAGATAGTCTCCCCACCCGACAGGCCCACCTCTCATTTTTTCCCTTGTCCTTCTCTCCACGTTCCTCTCTTTTCTTTTCTTCCGTTTCCAAAGATCTGGTGGTCTGTTCTCCTGAAGCTGGGGTACCTGGAGGCTGCAGCTAGTAGGGTTTCTCTCCCTTACACACACACACACACACACACACACACACACACACACATGCACACACACTCTCACTCTCTCTCTCTCTCTCTCTCACATGCACACAGTGATTTCCTGACTGACACCTGGCTGCCCCTACTTGGAAGTGCTTCCTGCACAGGGACTGGGTCCTCTGCACTGGGAGGTGGAAGGTTTGGGGTGGCTGGGTGCCCCCTTTGCCATTCAGAGCAAACAGTGAGGCAGTGTCCTGTGGCCACAGGAGCAAGAGCAGAATGCTGGGACTGAGGAGGCAGCCTCTCCCTGGTTCTCAGCCTCATCTTAAAAATGGGAGGTTGATCTCATGGAGCTTCAAGTCAGAAGGGATCTTCGATGTCATTCAGTCTAGGGTCCGCCCTGTGTGGGAGCCTCTGCCCCAGCTGTCCTGGGTGGCAGTCACACGGCTCCTACTAGAAGCTCTGCAGGAGCCCTGCACCTTACCTTCTAGGGGCTCGTTGCTCATTGGAGGGTAACAGCCTTAGAACCTGTTCTCCCTTATCCTCCATTCTGTAATTATTTTTTAAAGGCTCACTCTGGCCAGTGTGCCTCCCAGGGCTGCTGGTTGGTGAAAGCGATGCATCTTCAACTGATTAACCTCGGAGGCCCCAGCCCCACCAGTGGGTGCTTCAACAGGGCAGCTGTAACTGCTTCGTGCCCAGGACTGTGCCAAGCCTCAGCTTCCCCACCACCTTAATGAGGCGGCATACTTGTCCCCATCTTACACGGAGGAGGCTGAGGCTCAGGGGTTGATGGGCCACAGCCCTCAGCTTGGAAGTTCTGGAGCAGGCACAAGCCCAGGTGGGCTCTCTGCTTTCAGCCTGAGCTCTCAGGCTCTGTGCCTTTTTCTGAGAGATACCTGATCTCAGTCACCCTGTCTGTAAAATGGAAATAATTCCACTTGCCTGTCGGATGTATTAGAAGGTTTAAGAAAGATAATGCATAGAGAACACTTAATTCTTAGTCGCTGGCATCTAGTTCTAGCTTGTTCAATGGTGGCCAACACTCTTATAATGGACTCAGCCCCTGCATGTCCCCAGCAAGGCTACTGAACCTTCTCTGCTCCTTTTTCTTTGGAGCATGGAGTTAGAGTGCCTGTTCCCCATAAGGGGTGCTTTGGCCAGAGTGAGGTCCGTGGTGGAGAGAGGCGCACAGGATCTGTGGTAGTCTAGTGGCTAGCCTGGCAGGCTGGCATCAGGCTTTAAATAGCTCCACATCACTCCTCCCAGGCCAGCTTCCCACACATGGGTAATTAAGCTCACAACATTTAGTGTAAGCAAATAATAACAAGGGCATTATCTCCCTTTAGTCTGTGTTTTTCCTTGCCTATCATAAAGTAATTAAAATAATGAATGCCTTGTAAAACAATAGGTAAGAGGGCTGGTGAAATAGCATTATCTGCCACATACCTCTTGTGCTGTGAATTTCTGATGCAGTTAACCATTGTGACTGGAGGGCCCCCCTGCCTCCCAGCCTTTTTCACGTTGATTCCTCCTCTCCAGGGTCTACCAAGGGGCTGTGGAACCTGGGTCCCCAGGACTGAGGAGCAGGGAGCTAGCCTTCTAGGCACCCCCATGGTGGCCCAGGACCAGTTCAGAAACATCCTGGGAGGCTTGACTCAGAAGGAAACAGTAGAGCCTCAGATTTAAGGACCATCTCCCTGCCCTCTTCTTTTCCCCACCCCTCCACCGGTGTCCAGTTTTGAAAGAAGCAAATGGTTCTATTCTTGGAGAACTGGGAGTGAAGATCCATGTCCCATTTCAGCAGTCACCGAGCCATACCAGGGTGGTCACGAGCTGTGGTCCCCAAAGTGAGCTCCCAAGGCCGGCAGCATGAGCATTGCCTGACAACTGGGTGCAAATGTAGGTTCTGGGAGGGGCCCGGCACACTGTTTCTACAAGCCCCCGGCGTGCTTACGATGCCCGCTCATTTGGGAGCACCACTGCTTTATGGTGCCAGTGGCACGAGAAGCAGCAAGGGGTGCTGGGATGAGCTCTGGAACCTGTATGTTGTAGTGTGGGGCACTGTTTAATCCTGACAATGCCTGAGGGGCTGGGAGTACTGTCCTCATCTTATGAAAGAGGCCCCACAGGGGTAGGAGAGCTAGATTTCCCCCTGAATCTATGCATTTAGTTACCATGGCTGCCTCTGTATCAGGGCCTCCCCCTCCTCCTAAATACCCTTCTGTTCCGAGTCTCACAGGGCAGAGACTCAGGGACCAGGGCAAGACCTAACAGGTCCTATCTGAGACTGGCCTAGGAGGCTTGGGCAACAGGTCCCACACATGTCAGCAGGCAGCCCCTGTGGCCTCCCCCTCCCAGGCCTCCTCTTGGATCATTCTAGCTCTGTGGGGCTTTACACACTTGGAAATAAAATATTACCATCCAGGGCTGCAGATGCGGCTTCTCTCTTCCCCAGCTTCCCTGAGCCACAGGCAGCCAGAGGAAGAGAAGTGGAAATCGAGAGCAGCTTCCTGTCTGCCATGGCCAAGTCCCTAAGAGGATGACTCACCAGTGTGCCCTCACCACCTGCCTCCCACGTGCCTGGCCTCCCTATGCCTCGCCCCCATGTCACTGTAGACAAAACTTTTCACCACCGTCTCTGGTTCTTCCCCTTACTCCAGATCACAATGATTCCCCAGTGTGGCTTTGCCTTGGGAATTAATTCCAGAGTTTTAAATGATGAACTAAATTTGCTGGTATCTTTTTAAACATCTTCATTTGCAGTAATAATTGCAGTGGGTATTTGTGTTGGGGTCCAGTTAAATGTACATTTTTATATAAATAATGAATAAGCTTTTAGTATAAGTATGTTCCAGGTAGTATTTGGAGAATATACTTGTACTAAAAAGTTATTTGTTATTTATCTGAAATTTAAATTTTATTGGGTATCCTGCATTTGATCTGGCAACACTAAACCCAGCCTCTGTGGCCAATGAGGGGCCGATACTCACAGCCCTTTCTAGCCATTCATTCATGTTTATTGAGCCAACTCTGTGCCAGGCACTCTGTTAGGCACCAAGGCTGCAGCAGTGGGGGAGGCAGACGTAAGTGAAAGAAATAAATGATTTATTAAGTATATTAGAGGTTTTAAGTGCTATGGAGAAAAACAAAGCAGAAGAGTGCTGTTGGAAAGAAAGTGTTGCAAATTTAAACAGGTAGCCAGGGAAGACTTTATCAAGCAAAGACAAGGGAGCAGGCCATAAGTCTCTGTGGGGGAAGAGTATTCTAGGCAGAAAACTCACTGTGTGCAAAAGTTTACAATTTAGACCCCTATGTAGGGCTCAGTTATCTAATGAGACCAGCCTTGTTTCCTCAAGCACATTTTAAGCCGCAAGGGGAATTTATTGTCTTCTGTAATTGAAAGGGTATGGTTTGGATTTCAGGCACAGCTGGATCTAGGTGTTCAAATGATGACATCAGTATTCTATCACTTTTACTTTTCTCTGCGGTGATTTCATTCTCAGGGAAGAATGAATTTTTCTATTCTTTCCTGCAAATATTTTACGCTTGAGTCTTATTGGGTTGGTGTGGATCGTGTGACTATTCATCGCCCAATTGCTGTTGGCAGGGGGTAGAAGGGACTGATTGATTAGTTTCCACTGTTGGAGCCAATGTGAGGCCATCTTTTCCATTTGAACCACATAGACTGAGATGAAGAGATAATAATTGTCTTAAAGAAAACTGGGGGTGCTGCTGTGAGAAGGAGCATAGAGGCTGGGCAGGCAAAGACCATGGCATCCCTCCCATACTTTCCTCCTCCTTCCTCAGCATGCCCTAATCTTAGACTGGTTGTGTTTTCTTCTGCTTTGGTGGTTTTTTTTTTTTTTTCTTTAAAATGGGAGGAGACCAACACTTTTGGAGGCCGAGGTGGGCGGATCACTCGAGGTCAGGAGTTCGAGACCAGCCTGGCCAACATGGTGAAACCCCATCTCTACTAAAAATACAAAAATTAGCTGAGCATGGTGGTGCACACTTGTAATCCCAGCTACCTGGGAGGCTGAGGCATGAGAATTGCTTGCATCTGGGGAGTAGAGGTTGCAGAGCTGAGATTGCACCACTGTACTCCAGCCTGGGTGATAGATTGAGACTTCATCTCAAAAAATAAAATAAAATAAAAAATAAGAGAAAAATACCATCCTTCTTACTTTCAATATGATATTTTAAGAGGAAATAAAGAAAATATTCTTTTTTAAATAAAGATTTTTTTTTTTTTTAAATCAAAGGCATGATTTAGCCCTTCTGTTTTACTCCTGTACTTTTAAGCCAGTTTCTACCTGAGCTGGGGACCCCTTCGGGCTCTGGTTCTTTATGGGTAGGGTATGTTATTTAAATCCAGTGGTTCCCTATATCTCAACTCTTGCTTTTTCTGTTGCCAGGAGGCCCAGAAGATTAACAATGGCTCAAGCCAGGCGGATGGCACTCTCAAACCAGTGGATGAAAAAGAGGAGGCAGTGGCCGCCGAGGTCGGCTGGATGACCTCTGTGAAGGACTGGGCGGGGGTGATGATATCCGCCCAGACACTGACTGGCAGAGTTCTGGTGAGTCTCCACCCCCTTCTCACACCAGGAGGCCTTGCTGTGTGGGCCAAGATGGCTTTGCTTATGAGACGTGATGTGCCCCAGGGTCTTCTGCAAGAGGCTGGCTATTGGGAGGTGGGGGTGAGCAGCAAGTGCTCCCACGTGGTCATGAAGGAGAGGCTCCGTTCTTTGTGTACAGTGGTTTGTGGAGGGATTTTCAGGGAGTGGGGTTTGCAGTAGAGAGGGGTTGTTGGGAGGAGGTGGCACGTTTCCTCTGCTAATAAGTGCGCATGAACGCACACACACACACGCACACGTGCACGCACACTCACACCCTCCCTCATCTTGGAGAGGAGAAGAGGGTCAAGGAAACATACCAGAGACTTATGGAAGGGCCACAAATGATGGAATCCTGGGGAATGCTGAGAGAGAGAGAGAGAGAGAGAGAGAGAGAGAGAGAGAGAGAGAGAGAGTGTGTGTGTGTGTGTGCCCACGTGCGTGCACATGTGTGTGTGTGGTGGCCTTCAGGGGATGTTCTCGTTGTCTTCTCTTAGCCTGTAGGGACCTCTGCTTGGAGCAGTTTCCAGATTTTCTGCAGTGAGCTGGACCCTGTGCATGGCGAAAATCAGTCATGCTGATGGTGGACACATCAGCAGCCCACCTGAGGCTGCCTGGCCCGTGTGCCTGAAGCTCCCTTGTGTGCCCTTTTCTGGTGAGGTTGTCTCCCAGGCCCACCTGCAGCCAGGGATGATCCTGCCCCTTCTCTGTGCATTTCCAGCATCTCTCTGATCTGCTTATATGAAACTTGGCTTCACTGGCTGGCCTCATGAGCCCTTGGTTTTTGTCAAGGATCATTAGTGGGACAGGCCTGTGGTGACCAACAATCACAGTTTGCCTGGGACTGAGGGGTACATGGGACATGAGTCTTTCAGTGCAAAAGCTGGGAAGGCCCTGGGCAAACAGGGATGAATTGGTCACCATAGCCAGGTCCATACTCAGGGAAAGCCCTGCCCTATTGCTTTCTCGGGTCTGCTCTAGGTCAGGAGTTTCCCTAAGAAGGATGTTGCATGCGGAGTGATTTCTCATTGTGATTCTGGAAGCTGTTTTGTTTGGGCCACCTGTCCTGGCTTGAAGCTAGGGCTCAGTCAAGAGTCATTTGGCTCATAGATGGAAGGAGTAGGGCCTGTGTGGCCCTATCCTGAGGCCTTTGTGGGTCAAAGACCAGGCAGAGAAACTGGGAAACAGTTATTATCTGAGTTTCACAGCAAAAACTCAGTGAGGAGGTGATTGTAGATGGAGGAAGGTGGTGAGAGTTTCACTTCTCAGAATCCTTCTTGGAAAGAACTCAGTGTTATGTCTGGGATCGATATCACACACACTTCTTGAGGGAAGGACTTAAGTATTCAAAGGTGCCGACCATACAGCCTTCAAGCAGGACAGGTTCTGCTCACCGAGGGATCTGTCTTGAGCTGTGTGCTGAAGGGACTGGATATGAAACTGTGGCTGATGTCAACTGATACCAAAATGGAAAGAGGGAACCTTTAAAGTTGGAGTTTTGGAGGAGGAGAGAGAAACTGATGAGGTCAGCGGCTGCTTGGAGGAAGGCACAGGAGGGAGACAATCCAGTCTGGTGTGACCCAGGAGGACTGTGTGTAGTGGGGACTTGGAAGTGCCTTGCTCTTGGCTGTGCTATGTAACAGCCCTTCTGTATCTCTTCCTGCCTCTTCAGTGAAGTCTCCATTGCTCTTTCATGCTTAAAGAAGAGCAGATTCTGCATTGGAAACTTAGAGGTTCAATTCTGGGTCTGGGTATTCATGGGGACACAATGGATGTATTCTACATGTATGGTGGTGATAATGAATGGGGAGCAGGAGACAGTTTGCTTGCACAAATGTGACACTTGTTCCTTCCATGTGATCATTATAGACAGGTCTAATTTTCTTCATCAGCATTGCCAAGAGTTACTAAACACGAATTCTTGGCCAAGTGTATTCGTTTTTTCAGCTCTGTGGAAAACAAGGAAGGATCCTGATTCTGTTGTGCCATGTAGGGAAGTTATTGAAGGAATGTATGGACGATAGGTGCTATGAGTACAAACATGGTGTGCACGTGTGTGGGTGTGAGGAGGGGCTGTGGGGGAAAGCAGGGCTGATCAGGAAAGCCTTCATAGGGAGGAAAGCCTTTGAACGAAAGCTCCCATTTCAAGATGAACTGAGCATGTGCTTTATGGTGGGAAGATATCAAAAGTAAAAACACATCCAAGCCTAAACACAAGAAAATGACTGCTAGGTGGGCCAGAATCTGTGAAGAATACCTAATAAGACAGAATGCATTTGCAGTGAGCTTTGTAGTGTGAGTCAGGATCTTGAGAGTCAAAGGAGAGGAAAGCCTTCCAAGTGAGGAGGAAGAAGAGCAGAGAAGGAGCCTGGTATCCTGGGGAATGGGGAGTGCAGACCCCAAAGTCTAGGGGAGTGTCCTGGAGACAGCCTGGTGGGGCTTTAAAGGCCAAGCTAAAGAGTTTTTGGAGTTCGTAGAACAAGGAGATTTTGAGGCAGGGGGTGTTGTACAGAGAGAGCTAGGGGACAAGTGGAGACTGAATGGGTGAAGCTGGAGCTTGCAGGCTATAGGACAAGTTAGGGCAGTGAGTTGCTGCCTTAGTGATGGCTTGGGAGCAGATTCCTGCAGTAGTCCTGGTGAGGCACAGTCTGCAGTGGCACTAAACGGAAGATGCAGATGGTAGATGTGGGTAATATCGTGGAAGCAGAACTCATTGGGCCAAGCACACCCAGCGGCCACCTTGATCCTCTGCTGGCAATCACACTGTTGAAAGCCTCTTGGGAGCCAGTCACTGTGCTAGGCCTTATATGTTAAGATCAATTTGAAGGGCAGAGACAATGTCATATTTCTTCCATATCTCCTTACTGCTGTTGTGTTGTATAGGTTCATTAGAAGAAAACAAGCCAATCTTATCAGTGAATTCATCTCTGTTTTATAGTTGAGAAAAATCAAGACATAGCAAGGGCAATGAGTTGTCTAGAAACATTCAGCTTTGAGTGACAGAGCCAGGCTCCTGCCTGCCAGCTCCCTGTCTCCCTGGAGTTCCTTTTGTGTCATTACTTCCCAGTCGAAGATAATGCCTTTTCTTTTCTAAGCCCCTGCGACCTGTCGCTTTGTCTGTGACATTTTGACATTACCATCTTCTAGCCACTTTGGTCCTGAGGATGCTTGGCTGGCTTGTTTAACATGTGCATACTGAAGCATGGTCCACGCAGGGCTCTTTGCCTGAGCCTGCCCAAGGTGCCAGCTGCTCTCTGAAGGTCTCCTTGGAGAAAACCCTGCCAAGGCTGCTGGGACCACCCAGAGCAAAGTGGGACCCACTGCAGACAGCAGGCATCTCAGAGCTCTAGGAGGTATCCTGGGAACAGGCCTGTCCGTGGGGAGCAGGCAGGCCTCTGCACTGAGCAAAGAACAGATTTCACAATGAAGTCCTGGTGTGCAAGAGAAAGCAGCTCGGCCTGTTCAGAACCCAAAGCTGTGTTGGTCTCGAGCCGTCCCAATGTTTATCCCTGCAACAGGGGGACCAAAGCAAGGCCAGATACCTGGTTATTCAGTTTCCCTTTCCATTTTTTAATTTGTTTTCCTTGACGCATGCTCAGGAGCTTGGCCTCCACATCTGGGCCTCTACTCACCTGCCCAGTTGTCACAGGTGAGAATCTCAAAGCTGGGACATCATGAATAAGGTCCAGCTGGGGAAAGATTTGCCAAGACGATCTCAGAATATCTGTAGGATCTCTCAGACCAGCACATCTGTTATTCACTAAGTGCTTATTTCTCGTGTGTACCTTACACTGTTCAAGGTACTGAGCATAACTCAGTGAGCAACAGAGCTCCAGAGTATGAATTATTTAGATTGATAAACTAGATATAAGGTTGCAGAGCTCAATTTAAGAAATTGATAATCCCATTCACTGGTGCTTTTTATAATCAATGCCTGGAGCCCAATCACCCACATGATAAAAATTCCTTGACCCCTCGGCCCCAGGTCTCAGAATAGCCTGTCTTTGCCTCCTCTCTCACCCTGGCATCCAGGCTAAACTGCCCAAAAACAGTAGGACAGGACCAAGACTTCTCTTGGAGCATGTGGCGGAGGGATTCTACATTAAAGTGAATGCCAGGCTGTCAAGGGTACTGCTTCCTTTAAATTTTTCTTGATAAACAAATGTTTCTCTTCTGATTATGAACATAATATATGTTTGCTTTTTTAAAAATTTTGAAACATACTGAGAGAAGCGCTGATACATTCCACTTTGGGATTTGGAGTTGGCTCCTGCAGAGGGAAATTTGGATATAGTAGTCAATATCGTCAGGATTTCTCTCAACCATTTGGGTGTCGTCGAGGACTTTGTTCACTGCATCTCATGTTACCCGCTTTATGCACAGACTTATGGGATAAATAGTTTTTTTGCATCAGAGATTTTTGTGGTTTTCCTGGTGAATATCCACGGAACATGCTAAGTCGAGAAAGGGCTCATGTCTCTCAGGGGTGGCTGCTCAGAGCCGAGTTGGTGCTTATGGAAAATACAGAGCGTCTCAGGTTTGCGCTCTGTGTCTTTGCACGCTTCCCTGACTTGTCTTCGTCATCTCTCATTTTCCCTTTGCCCTACTTTGCTTACTCCTACTTGAAATTTACATGTATGCAGTTGTGTGCTCCATACATTTTTGTCAGGTAAATTAAATCCTTTTAAGAATAAGGTGGTTTCTAAATAAAGAGGGCAAGAAACATGTGAAGTAGGGTTTAGTATAGTTTCATTGTACTGTATAGAATCATAAGCCAAAATCAATAGTGATAGTCAAGTTCAGGGTCAGTAAGTTCTTCTGTAAAAGGCCAAATGGTAAACATTCTAGGCTTATAGGCCATGTGGACTCCACTGCTCAACTCTGCCACAGTAGTTTGAAAGCAGCCACTAACAGCCTTGACGTGACTTTGTTCCAATAAAACTTTCTTTATAGAATGGGGGAAA